TGTGTGTGTGTGTGTGTGTGTGTGTGTGTGTGTGTGTGTGTGTGTTCCTCATAATGTTAATTATATTGGCTCATGAATTCTGGGGGTGGTGTGGGTGGGAGTGAGGGAGGTATAATAATAATAATAATATTAGTAGTAGTAGTAGTAGTAGTAATAGTAACGTCGACAAACATAGTCTTAATGAGTCATATTTGTAACCTAACCTAACGTAAACTTAATGCTGTATAGACTTAACTAATATGGTGTAAAGTTCGCTGTGAGGTTAAGTGCGTCAGGTGTGTGTGTGTGGTCTGGTGCTCTTGTGTACAAACGTAACACTTTTATCTTAGCTGCTTAAATGTGTGTGTGTGTGTGTGTGTGTGTGTGTGTGTGTGTGTGTGTGTGTGTGTGTGTGTGTGTGTGACGTAAGGATAATTTCCTGTGTTGAAGCAGGTGTGGGCGCCCTTGTGTTAGTGTTTATTGTACCTTTATTTTCTCTATTATTTCTTAATTCTCTATTTATACTCATGAGAGAGAGATGTGGAGGGAGGGTAAACCTTATGAGGGAGACTGAGGAAGGGAGAGACGCTAAGGGGAACAGGTGAAAGGTCTGTTATTTTGTCAAGACTCACAGCACCATGACACTTGACCTTTCTCAATAAGGGGAGGGAGGAATTATTACACTTAATAACGGTTACTGTATTTTTTGAACACTTTCTATTGGGATTGACAATTACACTTTATAACAATAGAACTTTTCTCCTAGATAGTTAGACGGGAATCACATTAATCACAATACTTTGGGTGAAACAGATAAAACCTTAATGGCGCACACACACACACACACACACACACACACACACACACACACAGTCTCTGAGTTTGAAAATCGAGCACACACTGTGTTGGGGACACTCTAGCTTCCAGCCAATCAGCACAATTATGCCTATGACGTCACACTCATAGGTCACTGTAATTGGCTCAGGGCCCAGGCCTCTCCCGGGCACTGTCATGTGCGGTTAATAAATGTCATGTCAAAAACTGTAGAATTATTAACCACAAGAATGAAAGACCTTATTTAAGGTTATCTATGCAAATTGAGAATTAATTTTTGGTCGCTTGAATATTAACCAGCCTGACGTTGCCTTTTGATGGATTGGGTCAGATTAGGGTGGTTAATATTCGGGAGATATAAGCTGAGTGGTGAACCTTCAAATATTCTTTAATTTATTTTCTAGTTGTACAAAGTTGTAATAGTTTGTGGGTTTAAGTTTAATAACATTTACTGGGGGATGTGAGCAGTGTGGAGGCATGTGGTGGTGTGTTAGTCCCACTGAGATAAGACGGTATCAGGGTATACCTAGATAACCAAAGGTGGTGTAGTCAGTGGCGGTGAGGATGTATGTTCACTCGAGTCGCCGCCGAGGTCCTTACCGGGTGCTGGGCTACAGCACCCACCAGGGCGGCATCTCACCCTCACTACCTACACCTGCTCCAGTGTTTCTCGGTTGATATTTGTGTGTTTACCGTACTCGTGTTTGGTAACAAGTGAAAAAAGTAGAAATTTTAACATTTCTGCCTTGGTGTCAGATGGACGATGGACGCAAGTGTCATATATAAAAGGAAAATGTTTAGTGTGTAATAGAAGAAAGTCATTTGGGAATATAGGGATAAGAAATGAGTGATATTCTTTGTCATACGTGTTAAGTCAGTGGTTTATGTGGTGTACATATGAAACGGGAAATCCTAAACCAGAGGAAATACAACGAGATACTGAGAGGCCACAGTGCCCAGACCACTGAGGCCACATCATCACTACTGCTAGTCGTGGCCCTCATCAGTGACGCTCCTCCTATTTTACCTGCTGACACTACTGCTGATTCACCCCCCACCTCCTCACCGCCATAGTTGGTGTATAGTATAGCGCACACACACACACACACACCCTCTAGTGAGTGGTGCGCTATTGTAGCCAGTCATACTCGTCGCCAACCTCTTACGGACGGAGTGCAGAGTTAGTGGTGCAACTTTTGGATGAGAAAATGAAGTACAGTATTATTTGGTGTCGTGAGTCTCGCTTCCCGCATGGCCCAGGTGGACTAGTGATTTGGTCCAGGTGGATTAGTGATTTGGCCCAGGTGGACGAGTGACATGACCCAGGTGGACTAGTGACATGACCCAGGTGGACTAGTGACATACCCACCCACCACGCCATTAGTTCCTGCGTCTGACTCTTGCTCCACCCAACACACAAATGATCCAGGCTCTCGTCTCCACTGGTGCTGCACAAGGATCAACTGGAGAGCGCTGCGCCGGATATCAGAGGAGTTTTATCTAAAGTTTAACTCGTGCGAAGTTTAACGGCTTGAGCGATTGTAAGAATGAGTCAGAGGCAGTGTGTTGTGATCCATGTAGCATAACGAGGTGTACACTTGTGGAGTCACGGCTACGACACTTCCGTCCCCACGGCCCGTGTCCACCCTCCAACTCTTGCAAGTGGTACACCAAACCAACCGACCGACCGTCTCGTCCTCGACTTGTAATACCGGATGAAGATGTTAGTTTGTTTATGTTTCTGACGCCCAGTTGTCACTGATAACATGGAAAGTCGACACAGGATCTGACTTAATAACCTTGGATCCGCTGACGTGTTGAATGTTGCAACTGCCTTAATCCCGCTAACCAAAGTTATAGTGTGAGTCAGCATTGCAACAGTTGGAGTGGACGTTGATTACAATACTGTGCCGACTTGGCCAAGTTAGTGTGACAACATGCACTGTGTTGATGGTCCCAGACTCAGACCGTTAGTGATCACGTTACAGGAGTTTGTGTGTGTGTGGGAGACAGCCTCGGTCGGTACTAGTGTTACCTTGTGTTGCTACAGTCAACACTTGATAAATGTGTTTGTTCACCCAGATAAAACAACTTTGTGAAGTGATAGTGAAGGAAATAAAGACACGACAAAAGAGTGTTGGGTGTTGATGGTGTCGGAAAAAATCTGTTGACAGTGTTGAAATTAACATGGTAGACAAGTGTTACTGTGAGTGTTGGGTGAAGCTGCCGCTGTTATAATGATGATGAAGCAGAACACAAGCTGCATGTTTTACTACAACAACCACCACTACAACAACCACCCACTACAACAACCACCACTACAACAACCACCACTACAACAACCACCACTACAACAACCACCACTACAACAACAACCACTACAACAACCACCACCACTACAACCACCACCAACTACAACAACCACCACTACAACAACCACCCACTACAACAACCACCACTACAACAACAACCAACAACCACCACTACTACAACAACCCACCACTACAACAACAAACCACCCCAACAACCACCACTCAACAACAACCACCACTACAACAACCACCACTACAACAACCACCACTACAACAACCACCACTACAACAACCACTACAACAACCAGCCAACAACAACCAACCACTACAACAACAACCACCACAGCAACCACAACCTCAACAACACCAACCACCACTACCAACAACCAACCACCACTACAACAACCACCACTACAACCACTCACAGCAACAACCAACAACAACCACCACAACAACAAACTACAACGCAACACCCAACCACAACTACAACAACCACCACTGCAACAACCACCACTGCAGCAACCACCACTACAACCAACCACCACTACAACCACCACTACCAGCAACAACCCCACTACAACAACCACCACTACGCAACCACCACTACAGCAACAACCACTACACCAACACACACACAACAACCACCACTACAACAACAACCACCACTACAACACAACCACCACTACAATAACCACCACTACACAACAACAAACCACCACTGCACAGCCACCACTACCCAACAACACCACAACAACCACCACTACAACAACAACTACCAACCACCACTACAACAACCACCACTACAACAACAACAACCACCACTACAACAACCACCACTACAACAACCCCACCAACCAACCACCACTACAGCAACAACCACCACTACAACAACAACCACCACTACAGCAACAACCACCACTACAAAACACTACAACAACCACCCACTACAACAACCACCACTACAACAACCACCACTACAGCAACAACCCACCACTCACGAACAACCACCACTAACAACCACCACCACAACTACAACAACCACCACCAAACCACCACAACAACCACCACCACACCACCACCAACACCAACAACCACCAGCCAACAACACCACTGCAACAACCCACCACTACAACAACACACCACCACTACAACAACCACCACTACACGAACCGGAGCCACTACAGCAACAACCAACCACCAACAACACCACTACAACCAACCACCACCACAACAACAACAACAACACCACCAACACCACAACAACAACAACAACCACCACAACAACCACCACCACTTCAACAACCACCACTTCAAGCTTCCAACACCACCACTTCAACCACCACTTCAACAACCACCCACACAACAACAACCACCACTACAACAACCACCCACTACAACAACCACCCACTACCAGCAACAACCACCCGCAACCACCAACCACAACCACCACAACAACCACCACCACAACAACCACCACCACAACAACAACCACCACCACACAACACCACAACAACAACCACCCACAGCAACAATCACCACTGCAACAACCACCACAACAACCACCACTACAACAACAACCACCCACTACAGCAACCACCCACTACAACAACCACCCACTGCAATAGCCTGCCTTTTACCATCAACAATGCTATATCACAACAAACTACCACTCTCACTACCACCGTGCTGCAGCCTACTACCACCACTACTACAACCTACCACTACCACCACTACTACACCACCCACCACTACTACCAACCTACCACTAACTACCACCACTACTACAACCTACCACTACCACCACTACTACAACCTACCACTACCACCACTACTACAACCTACCACTACCACCACTACTACAACCTACCACTACCACCACTACCACCACTACTACAACCTACCACTACCACCACTACTACAACCTACCACTACCTACCATCATAATGTATCGCCTCTTCTAATGTTGGTCGATTCATGACATTAACTCACACTGATGACTGCAGGTGAGGGCAGTAGACCTCGGCACAGGTACTACGGCCTTACTGGTGGTGTTGTGTGTATACGTTTGTCCGGATAAATGAGATATGGTAAACCCGACAGACAAATAGACGGACATAACGTAAATATGAACGTTTGATGAGTTCTGCTGGTGTTTGAATTTGATTTGTTGTCGAACCTGGTTTTTTTTTTTTAAGATAGAAAAAATTTAATTTTCAGATTGATTATATGTACTTACGAACATCCATTAATGCTTGCACTGACTCTGTGTTTACACAATGGCTCAACGCGGGAGAAGAGAGGTCACGGCCTCTGTTCCACAAAACAAGAAAACCAGCTCTACCGTTCCCTCGGCGCTGGAAATTGAAAATTCTAACTTTTCTGGTATGCTGGTGGCAACGCCCATTAGAGTGGCCATGGCCTCAAGCCTCTCGCCATATAACCCCGGTGTTCTCTTGAGGTCAGCGACGACGCTTGAGCAATATGATGTGACGAGATCTGTGAAAAAGAGAAGTAGTGACAGCATCAAGAGGAGTAGTGGAAATCGGCCCGGAAGCATGTTGGAGACAACAGAAACTAAGAGGAAGAGTGATCCCAGCTCCAACAGCGCCACCAGTGCTCTCTTAAGCAGCGTCACATCTATCAAGGCTTTCTTCGGAGTCAACGGTAACGGAGGGGAATCTCAAATGTTCAAGAGGAATGGCGCCGCAAGGTCGACGAAGAAAGCAGCTGCAGATACTAGAACCCGCAATGTGACCCCGGGCCTCAAGAGACTCCCAAAAGACCGCGTCCTCCAGGATGATACTAACGCCTCCACGTTCTACAGAGGCTTACCGCAGAGGTCCCCTTCGTCCCCAGCACCATTCTCATACACATCCAAGAAGCCTTTAACCTCAACAACCTCCAAAACCCTCAGTGCCTCCACTTCAATAAAGAAGACTGTTACCTTAACTACTGCCCAGAAAACTGGTAATTCCGGTGAGCGCTCGAGATCGCGCAGAGGAAAGTCAACTAGAAGAAAGTTTTTCAGCAAGTCGTCAAAGAGCGCGGGCAGAGACGGTGATGTGACCTCGACGGACGACGAACAGGTAGGACACAGGTGGAAATTGTCGCTGGCTTTGTACCCGTTACGTAAAAGAGGCGCCTTGAGGCTTGTAGCTTGTAAGTTGCTTGTGCCAAAGCCTGGGGTTCCCAGTAGCTTTGTATAGATGTGGGTTAGGACTGCGTGTGTTCTCAGGACTCAGCAATGATGCCATTGTCTTTATTTTGTACAACACAATACTGTAGACAATATTGTGGTGGGTCGTCTGGCTTAGCGTATGTTTGTTGTAAAGGCATAGTGAAGATGTCATGTGTTTTGACGCTGTTTTTGGCTTGCCACTTGGGCACAGTAAGACCCTTATCGCTTGTCATGTGACGTGGAATTAAGCTAATGACTCAGCTTGGTGGGGCTGGTAGTGCGGGAGTTCTGATACGACAGTTACGTTATACAGGAAGTGTCGGAAAGATATGGCTGGTGTCAGGTTTCGAGATAATCATACACTGTATGTTGTTCACTTGTGAGTATGTATGAGAATCACAAATAATACAAGGTGACTGGTGTATCTGTATATTTCTTTATAGAAAATATCCGTCTCGCAAATCGTATTCACCTTAATTATAGATAGGAACGCTATCCCTTTACCACCCACCCTTAAGGAATGGTATTACTGTCCCACATTTATGATTTTAAATAATCCCTATACCACACACACTCATTCTCTCTCATGCTGGAGAGGACAAACAGCTAACCTCTCTCGTTTCCCTCTTTAACCGTGTAGAAGAAAGAAAAGTTGGGTAAGTATTCTCAAGATGGCTACTGGCGGTCAGAGTTCATGTTACAATCAGGAACAAAACTCTAATACCGATAGTCACAACACGAACAGGGTGTGTCGCTACCAGATGCCTTTGATTCAATGAAACTTAATATATATCAACACAAGATGAAGTTCTTAAAATTCAGATGATGTAGTGTGTCAGTTGTGCCTCCAGCAGATAAAGTGTTCAGCGGCTTACCAACACATCTATTGTTTATATATAAGTTTGTCTTTAGGGTTAAAGTTATTTTGTGAACCACAGATGAACTGGGACGGCTGAAGAAGAGTGATAATGCGTGTCTATTTTGTTTACGAATTTTAGTATAATTATGTCTGTTTGTTTTTTAATGTTTGAGTTTATATACTGTGCTGTACATGGTGTCCAAATGTTAGTTTTGTGCTTGACTCTGCAATCTTCGTGTTTTTGAGTGTCATATACACGATTATCTGTCATTAATCACATTGTTCAATTTTTTCAATTTCAATTGTTTATTCCTTGATAGAGGAAGCGGGATCCTAGTGCTGTCACTAGGTACCCCTGTACAATAACACCAGAAGCATCTGGCAAGTGTGATAAGTATATACAGTATAAATATTATAAAGGGGCTTACTAAAGCCTAAGGAAGGAAAGATATTCCTTTAACACATAATCAATGTTATTTACATAATATCTGGCCAGTATGGGGAGGATCATCGTGTCTCCGTCAGGGGGTCGTGGAGTGGTGGTCCAGCAGGCGTCACGGAAGCGTTGTGTGTGGGGACATCTTAGGCAGTGGCGTAGCTAGAGTGTGTGCCGCCCGAGGCGGCCCTTGAGTTTGCCCCCCCCCCCGTGCCCCCACAAAAAATACATATTGCACAGTGACTCACTCTATATATATATATATATATATATATATATATATATATATATATATATATATATATATATATATATATATATATATATATATATATATATATATATATATATTAAATAGTTTGTGTACCATTATAATATTACTGTACTTTCACATACTCAAATATAGTATGCTTTAAATACACACCAAACATACTTAAACTTTATAAGTAACAGTTAAACAAAAAGCAAAAACGACATATAGGATAGGGAAAAAAGTAAAAAAGTGTAAAAAATTAGGACCATCTTTATTTCTGAAATTAAAACTACAACTTTCTACAAAGTAACTTTTCTTGTTTTTTTGTTGGCAAATTCTTCAATGACATTGTCAAAAACTATTTCATCTGTCAATTGTCGCTCTATAGACAGTATGGCAAGATTTCTCAACCGCAAGGTGCTCATAGTAGATCTTAAGTAATTCTTGATCAGTTTTAGTTTCGAAAAACTCCTCTCACAGGTAGCAACACTAACAGCAATTGTGAGGAAAATCCTCAGCATTATTACTATATTTGGAACCGAGTTCCCAAGGTTATACTTTTGAATAAACTGCAAAAGTTCAAGGGGGCCTTCTTTCCACGTCTGTATTCTGTCTTTAATAGTTATAGCAGCAACAGCAACAAAATGCTGAAGTCTTTTTCTCTCAACGAGGAACTCCTCTTCATCAATGTCGTCGTGATCGTGATCTATTTGACACTCATATTTATCATCCAAAAGATTCAATGGGGTAAGGAAGGCATATTTCTCAGCAAATTCATGAAGCTGTTGAAATCTCAAAGTCGTCTAGCCTCCCCTCGTCTTGTCACGATGGAGACTTGTGCAGAACTGAAGTGAATTGCTTGTAACTGGTGGATTGGTCGGCTGTACATGAACTGATATGACCCGAGACTGCATGGTTTTGCAGCTACTGGAGACGTTAATCCTTCCCTTTGTATCGGCGGCAAGTTAATCCTCGTCGTGTCTGACCTAACACCTGACCCACACCACATGAGCTCACTGGCGTACTTGTTTGAAGTTGTTTCCTTAATCCTCAACAGGTTACAGGTTGTGTGTGTGGCGGGGGGCCTCATAGCAAGGGTGTAGCTCATGACGTGGCCGTGATGATGTGGGTCAGGTGTTAGGTCAGACACGACAAGGATTAACTTGCCGCCGATACAAAGGGATGGATTAACGTCTCCAGTAGCTGCAGATATGGGTGATGAGCAGACCCAAAAGTGCCGCCCGGGGCGGACCGCCCCCACCCCTCCCGCCCCCCAGCTACGCTAGTGATCTTAGGAGGTAGTGTTCACATTGTTTACATATATATGGGAGGACTTCTGTGTATCATTACATAAGCTGGCAGGCAGGAGTGCATACAGTTTGGCAGACGCACTCGGGCAGGTTGGTTGGCAAACAAACACAGACAGAGGCAGCTGGCTCCATGTTGCGTCATCACGGGGCGCCGATGCTAGTTGCCATTCACCATGGTTCGTCGAGAACTCAAATATTAATAGCAATTGTCCCCTCAAATTTCACTATCGGGTTTACAGTGCAGTAGTTACAAGTTGTCGATAATTTCTAACCTGTCCTCTTTGACCGATCTATTTAAATGAACTTAGTGTGAAGAGTATTGGGGACCTTGATGTTAATGATTTGCGGATCGTCTTTAGTAAGCCCCTTTATAATATTTATACTGTATATACTTGTCACACTTGCCAGATGCTTCTGGTGTTATTGTACAGGGGTACCTAGTGACAGCACTAGGATCCCGCTTCCTCTATCAAGAAATAAACAATTGAAATTGAAATTGAATTCATCGTATTCTGGGGTAATGGTTAGCCAGTGCAGTTGGCGAGTTGTCCGGTCTTCTCGGACTATTCCTTGACACTGGGTCATGCAGCTCGTTAACTTAGGGTGGAGGTGTTGTTTTGGCGACAGCTTCTACACCATGAACAAATTCACGCCTAGGTGGCCCTTGGGCCGGCCATCCTCGTTACATGAGGGGCAACAATTATTATTTATACGTTTAGTAACCCCTTATATTTTCAAGGAAAACTTGGTACTGTACAGTAAGTGCAGGATTGCCTCATAGGCCGTTCTTAGACCAAAAAGATCTATTTGTGGCTCTTTCTGTGGTCTGGCTTAATAATACTTAGTTTGGCCTATTTATGTATTTATTTTTATTTATTTTAACATTATTTACTCGAGTTTAGTTGCTGGTGATAATGTAGTTAGGCAGGTGGTGATAAGGGTTAGCTGGTGATAATGTACATTATGTTAGGCAGGTGGTGATAAGGGTTAGCTGGTGATAATGTACATTATGTTAGGCAGGTGTTCCACAGCATTTATTAATGTTTAAGGAAAAATAAAGAACATTAATTGTTTGATCCAGTTCGTGATTTGATTGAGGAATGGAAAAATTTACCTTTATTTTAATAAGTTTGAAATTCGAGAGTTAGAGAAAACAGACTGAGTTTTGGTTATTTTTATCTGATGTAAAGAATGCTGGAGATGGTAGTTAACATAACCATGATTGTGTGGCTAAACTGGTACTCACCCTTACCCAACTCTAGTGAAGAAACTGAAAGAATTTGTTCGATGTCAACAAACGCCAAGACTAAGAAAAAAATAATTAGATGGATCCGGAAATGGTGAATATTAATCTGGTAACAAAATGTGGCACGAAAACAGTGAAACAAGACTTTAGAAGTTAGAAAATTAGTCTGAACAGTATAATGTGTGCATGTACAGTAGCCTACGTTCTGTACGCCTTCAAGAAAGTACAGTTTAAGAACTATTTTGAGATGTTTTGGTGATTTGAAAATAAATTGATAGTTCAGATTTAAAGGAGCAATTTACAGTAATTACTTTTAAAGACTTTATTTCACTTTAAGTTGTAAAAAATTCTTCCGTAGGGCGTAGCGTAATGCAGGGTTGTTTCATTGGGTGTGCAGGGCTGACCAGTGTGGTGGAGAGAGGGTGTGCAGGGCTGACCAGTGTGGTGGAGAGAGGGTGTGCAGGGCTGACCAGTGTGGTGGAGAGAGGGTGTGCAGGGCCGACCAGTGTGGTAGAGAGAGGGTGTGCAGGGGCTGGACCAGTGTGGTGGAGAGAGGGGTGCAGGGCTGACCAGTGTGTGGTGGAGAGGGTGTGTAGGGCTGACCAGTGTGTGGTGGAGAGGGTGCAGGGCTGACCAGTGGTGGGAGAGAGGTGTGCAGGGCTGACCAGTGTGGTGGAGAGAGGTGCAGGGGCTGACCAGTGTGTGAGAGAGGTGCAGGGCTGACCAGTGTGGTGGAGAGAGGGTGTGCAGGGCTGACCAGTGTGGTGGAGAGAGGGTGTGCAGGGCTGACCCAGTGTGGTGGAG